CTTTAGGGTAGCCCTGAAGTCGTCCTCAAACCCGAAACCCGAAACCCTCAACCCTAAACCCGAAGCCCTCAAACCCTAAACCCTAAACACTAAACCCCAAACCCTTAAACCCTTAAACCCTTAAACCCTTAAACCCTTAAACCCTTAAACCCTTAAACCCTTAAACCCTTAAACCCTTAAACCCTTAAACCATTAAACCCTTAAACCCTTAAACCCTTAAACCCTTAAACCCTTAAACCCTTAAACCCTTAAACCCTTAAACCCTTAAACCCTTAAACCCTTAAACCCTTAAACCCTAAACCCTAAACACCCCCAGCCTTGTCGAAGAGGCGTGCTTCTTGGCTGCCTCCGGACCAGCGTCGAGCCACTACGGGGACGCCCGCCCGCAAGGAGTGAGGTTTAGGGTTTCGGGTTTTGGGGTTTCGGGTTTGGGGTTTAGGGTTTAGGGTTTCGGGTTTGGGGTTTAGGGTTTAGGATGCAGGAGTTGAGCAGCTAGGGCTTTTTGGGGGCTTTTAGGGGCTGTTAGGGGGGCTTTTCGGGGCTTTGGGGCCTCTGGTTGGGTTGCTCGTTCGGTCAGGCCGTGGCTCCGCGGCTCCCTGGAACCCTGCATTTAGGGGCTTAGGGATCCCTAAGCCCTAAACCCTAATCCCTAAACCCTAGACCCTAAACCCTAAACCCTAGACCCTAAACCCCAAAACCCTAAACCCTAAGCCCTAAACCCTAAACCCTAAACCCTAAACCCTAAACCCTAAACCCTAAACCCTAAACCCTAAACCCTAAACCCTAAACCCCAAACCCTAAACCCTAAACCCTAAACCCAATCCTCCTCTTTAGGTTTTCGGGTTTAGTGTATGGGTTTCTAGTTGAGGGTTCAGAGGGGTAGATGTCATTTTGAGGCTCCAGGGATGAAGACTCGTACCCCTAAAGTTGTACCCCTAAAGGTTTAGGGTTTAGGGTTTAGGGTTTAGGGTTTAGGGTTCAGGGTTTAGGGTTTAGGGTTTAGGGTTTAGGGTTTAGTGTTACTCTAAACCCTAAACCCCAAGACCCAAGAGACACACACACACACACAAAAGGCCTACGCCCCTTTCTGAGGTCTTAGGGTGCTGCTGCTTCTGCCCCCCACCCCCCCCCAAAAAAAAGTGGAATACTCGCCCAGTACTCCGTGCGATACACATACAGACTTTGGAGACCTGAATTTCTTTGGTGAAGTGTTTGTGCCATTTGGCGGGGTTTTCCGAAATCAAAGGACCCCGAAAATGCACCCGCAAATTGTAGGATTACATGATAATAAGGATCCCCAATAAGGTACGCCGAATTGGCGTCGGAAAGCCCCTCACTTAGGGCCCCGGGTGCGGGTTTTGGGTTTTAGGTTTTTTTGGGGATTCAGGGCCATAGCGCCCTACACCTTGCCATAGCCCAACAGTGGTTCCTGAAACAACCCCCCAAACCCTAAACCCCCTCAACACCAAACACGCAACCGCAAACCCTAACCCCTAACCCCAATCCCTGAACACCAAACCCTTAACCCCAAACCCCTCAACCCTCAACCCCTAAACCCTAAACCCTAGAACCCTAGAACCCTAGAACCCTAGAACCCTAGAACCCTAAACCCTAAACCCTAAACCCTAAACCCTAAACCCACTGCATTCCAAAAGGCCAGACTTCAGCCCCGACTGTTGATGGTCGCCTTTACCACCGCGCCCGGGATGCGTGTTGCCAGGGTTTTGGGGCGTTCGGTTTCAGGCCAAGGCAGTAGCCCTAAACCCGAAACCCTAAACCCTAAACCCTAAACTGTAAACCCTAAACCCTAAACCCAAGACCGGTCTAGGTTTGAGGGTGCAGGGTTTAGGAGCCTAGGCTCTGAAGTCTCGACTCTTAAGTTAACCCTTTCAAGGCTCGAAGTCCCGGACCCTCAAATTAAACCTTAAAGGTTTTCATGTGTACTCCTAACACCAATTATAAGTCTACTTATAGCCTACTGAGAGGGGGTGCTTATCAGTACGATTATACCCCTAAAGCCTAAAGCGTTCTTGATTTGCTGGTTCAGCAAGAGTTCTTGCATGCTTGTCCGCAAGGCCTGGGCAGCGCGCGGGCTCTCTTCCTTCGTGTGTAGGGCAGGGTTTAGAGTTTGGGGTCTTAGGGTTTAGGGTTTAGGGTTTGGCGTTTAGGGTTTACGGTTTAGGGTTTAGAGTATAGGCCTTTAAGGTTTCGAGCTCAGGTTTCTGACGTGCGGCTAGGGCTGTTCTTGACAATGGGAAGCTTGTTTCCACTGGAAACCCCGTGAACTCATCTAGTCGACTTGAACCTTCGTCTCCGGCAGCGAAGTAGCCCCAAGCAAGACGGAGCAGCTTTGGACTTCTCCAAAGTAGGCATGACCTACCTTCGTATCTGGAGCCTTAGGGTGCACCCTAAACCCTAAACCCTAAACCCCTAAACCCCTAAACCCCCAAAACCCCTAAACCCCTAAACCCTAAACCCCTAAACCCCTAAACCCCTAAACCCCTAAACCCCTAAACCCCTAAACCCTAAACCCCTAAGCCCTAAACCCTACACCCTAAACCCTAAACCCCTAACCCCCAACCCCTAACCCCTAAACCCTACACCCTAAACCCTACACCCTAAACCCTAAACTCTAAACCCTAAACCCTAAACCCTAAACCCTAAACCCTAAACCCTAAACCCTAACCCCTAGCCGCCAAGGCATATAGCGCGGTTGTGTCTGGCCAATGCTTCCTACCCGCCAGGTCCCAAGGAAAAGGCAGCTGGGTATGCTCCCTGAACCCTAAACCCTAAACCCTAAACCCCTAAACCCTAAACCTTCAACCCTTCTGCCCTCAACAAAAGTCTACATAGGGTCAAGGCTGGTAATTCTGAGTTTAGGCCCAGCTCCATTGCTTTCAACCCGAAAGCCGGAAAAACCCAGAAGCATGGTGTAAGGTCACGGGGTGTCAGTTTAGGGTTTAGGGTTCAGGGTTTAGGGTTTAGGGTTTGGGGTCTAGGGTGCAGGGTTCAGGGTTATGGGAACTTTCTGGAGGGTTTTGGGCTTAAGGAACCAGGGGGTGTTTGTAGGGGCGTGGCAGGGCACATATTATTCCCCTAAGCCCTGAAACTCTGAATTTGGGAGGATTTAGGGTTTTGGATTTAGGTCCCAGGTCCTGTTCTAGGGAAGTGTAGGGTTTAGGGTTTAGGGTCTAGGGTTTGGGGTCTAGGGTGTAGGGTTAATCAAGGGGAACTTTCTGGAGCGGAGTTGGAGCTGCTCGGACGATGGAGAGTTGATACCTCTCTGCAGGGTGTTAAGATCAAGGGACTAGTGTGGGGACCCTGATGATGGACCTTAGGGGGAATGTAGGGGCTACATAGATAGGGACTATGTGAGGCATACCTGGTTGTGCGCTGTGCGTTCGACCCCACCCCCCCCCCCCCCCCCCTCGCCTCCGCCTCCTCCCCTCCCTCCCCGCCATGGTATCCCCACCCGAACCCTTAAGCCCTAAGCCCTCACACCCTTAGACCCTCAAAGACACATGCCCTAAGTTCGGTGGCCCCGATGCTCGCTCAGGTGATCAATCTATAACAGTCCTGATCAGAATTTGGGTACAGACGGGGTTCATTGGACCTGCTGCGGTGCCATTCATCGGTGTGCCTCTCAAGACTCTAACCCTAGCCCAAGGTATCCCCTTGATGAGTCACTACTGCCGAATTGCGGACATTAAACCCTAAACCCCTAACCCTAAACCCTATTCCTGGAGAGAGGGGTGCCAGTGATGCATGCTGGATGCGAGGGAAAGCATCGCACAGACTCGCTTTCTTTCCCGCATCTCCTTTTAACCGCAGGGTCATCCTTTGAAAACGGCCGGGATCCCTGAACCCTAAACCCTAAACCCTAAACCCTAAACCTTTAACCCTCTTTCTCGACGACACGGCCCCAAGTGCAAGGGGTTGTAGACGTTCTTGCCTTCATCGCACCCAAAACACTAAGCTTAACCCGTACACTTCTAATCCCTTATCCATTGTCCCTTTACCCTCAACCCTAAACCCTAAACCCTAAACCCTTCAGCCTTAAGCCCCTAACCCTAAAAGTAGTCTGGGGGCGTTTACGGGAGATCCCGGGCCGGTAGTTCCGTGAGCTGACATGACTGAGAAGACAAGGGGGAGGGGCACTTTGAAAAAGGAAGATCTGATAGGGTTTAGGGTTTGGGGTTAGGGTTTAGGGTTTAAGGTTTAGGGTTTGGGGTTTAGGGTTTTTTGGGGTTTAGGGGTTTAGGGGTTTAGGGGTTTAGGGTTTGGGGTTTAGGGCTTAGGGGGGTTTAGGGTTTAGGGGTTTAGGGGTTTAGGGGTTTAGGGGTTTAGGGGTTTAGGGGTTTAGGGGTTTAGGGGTGGTTTAGGGGTTTAAGGGGTTTCGGGTCTAGGGCCCCAATGTCCTAAAGGTCTAGGGATCGGGGCTTATTAGGGCTTAGGGCTTTAGGGCTTTAGGGCTTAGGTTCTAGCTTATAGGGCTTAGGGTTTAGGGTAAAGGATCGGGTTTGGGGTGTTGCAGCCCAGCCTGTCTTGGGTGGGACACAGCATGCCCGCCAAAGAATGAGATCAAGAAACACACGCAATAATTCGGTTTAGGGTTTAGGTTTAGGGTTCATTGTTTAGGGTTTAGGGTGGTAAATCTCTGTCGCACAAACTTGTGAAAGTGTTGTGTTGCTTCTCGCAATGATCTGAGAAAAGATCCCCTCTCCAAACTGCTACTGCGTTCAAAACCCTGAACCCCAAGCCCAAAACCCAAGACCCCAACCCCAACAACCCTAAACCCTAAACCTTCAACCCTGAACCCGAAGAAAGCCTCCCAAACTAGGACCATCTACCCCTAAACCCTGAACCCTAAACCCCAAACCCTGTACGGCTCATAATTCGTCTCCCAGAAGCACTAAGCCTACCCCTTCAGCGCCCACAAGCGCAGGCGTTTTCGGGATCGAGATCCTCCAGCAGCCCCAGATTTTTTCTGTTTCGCTCCCATGGCCCGTTCCCGGTCGCCCCTCCTGCTGGCAGCCGCTGCCTGCCTGGCGCTGTGGCGAGGCGGGTTTAGGGTTTAGGGTTGAGGGGTTTAGGGTTTAGGGTTTGCTGCGGGTTGACCACCCTTACTCACTTTCTTAGGGTTTGGGTTCCCTTATGAAGCCCCTATAGACACCCGTTTATGTTCCTAGGTTACTCCTGGTTCAGTTTCAGGGTTTAAAGGTTTAGGGTTTAGGATGAAACGGGTTTAGGGTTTGGGCTTTTGATCCTTTTGGGGGCGGGGGGGTGGGCTAGGGAGGGCTTTGCTTCAACCTGTCCCTGGTCCTGAAAGTTGAGAACGAATGGCTTCGACGTCTGACCTTGTTTAGGGTTTAGGGTTTAGAGTTTAGGGTACCCTAAACCCTAAACCCTAAACCCTAAACTCTAAACCCTAAACCCTATATAAACCCAAAACCTTACACCCTAAAGCCAAAGCTCTCCCAGGCCGCTTCGTCTTGTCTTCCACCTGAAAAGGCTCTACCCTAGACCCTAAACCCCTAAACCCTGCTTTTTGCTCGGTAATGGGCCACAAGCAGGATTCCTGGTATTTACAGAATTCCATGCCTGTAAACCACCTAAAAACGGATTTTTTCCGAGGACAACTGTGTGTTTCAATAGCAGTAAACCCTAATCCTGAACCCTAACTCTAAACCCTCCACGGAATCCTAAAAAGTGTACTTTTTCGCAGGCCTGACCACATGAGTGAGGCTGCCGGCAGTTCCGGCCAGCCCTCAGTCCTGCTTATGCCCCTTCTGGATGCAACACCAACGCCGCGGAAAAATGCAGGGTAGACGAGGATGCCACAGCAGCAAGCGCCAAGAAGAACCCTAACCCCTACACCCCAAAGCCGGATACCGGTGATCTGGACTCGGACATGCAATTCGTGGAAGAGAAGCACATGTTCCACGGCGGCACGTCCAGTACAGCACTGGAAGACATGACCACGGAGTATTTCCTCGACGACAGCACCAAGCGCACCGCCAGCTTTGCATCACTCTGACCACCCCCTTCACCCACAAAACAAGGCGGAGCAAAAAGCACCCAGAAAACACATGCCCAGAAATGCCCCCACCTGTACACTAAACCCTAAACCCCCTAAACACCCTAAACCCGACACCTTAAACCCCCCTAAACCCTGCTGTAAAACACCTATGAGGCCTTAGCTTTGTCAGCACGTCTGCACCACGGGCGCCCACAGCCTTGGACGCGGAGGTGAAGAAGGCCTCTTGCGTTCATGGATGCTCTACTCATCTACTCAGGGTTTGTCTGGGGTTTAGGGTTTAGGGTTTTTGGGGTTTAGGGTTTAGGGTTTAGACCCAAATCACCAATCAGGACGGCCCATTACATACCCTCTCATCGCAAAACCAGGACCCAGCAAAAGACAAGCGCTCAGTTCAAGCCAGGGAAATTCGACTGGCGAGCCCTACACCGCAAAACCCTAAACCATGAACCCGAATACCGAGGCACCGAGATCAGAGGTGTTTAGGGTTGAGGGGGTTAGGGTGATATGCATCCCTAATGTACCTATAACAGGAGTATATTCGTACAGGGGTTCTGAGATAATCAGTAGTCTTGGGTTCACATATAAACCCTAAACCCTAAACCCTCCACCCTAAACCTTTAACCCCTAAACCCTAAACCCTAAACCCTAATTCCTAAACCCTAAGCCCTAAACCCTAAAACCTAAACCCCAAGCCCTGCAGCCAATGGAGTCAGCCATTCTCAAGCCTTTTGCCTAAGGGTTTAGGGTTTAGGGTTTAGGGTTTAGGGTTTACGGTTTAGGGTTTAGGGTTTAGGGTTTAGGGTTTAGGGTTTAGGGTCCCAGCCTTAAAAAAATAAAGCACCCTGCCTTTTCCATCCCGCTGTCCTACAATCTTGCGTGGTGCAGGATGCCAGAGAAGCTCACATCCAGAGAATCGAGGACTGGCTATTGGCCAACCTCGAGTTCATCTAGCATTGGGGTCAAGACTAGGGTTCAGGGTTTAGGGTTTAGGGTTTAGGGTTTAGGGTTTAGGGTTTAGGGTGTAGGGTTGAGGGTTTAGGGTTTAGAGGGTTTCGCGTTTGTTGCGGTTACTGTGCAGGAGGACACATCCAGCTTCCCTGCTGTGCCAGCCATTGCCATGGCGAGCGTGACGCGCTGAGTGCATTGCCTAAGCCCTAAACCCCAAACCGGGTTTTCAGATGGTCACATGCTCTGAATGGGGGTTTGCCAAAATTGGGGACTTTATACACCCCCAAATAGTAGGAGCCCCTTACAATATGGACTCAATAAGGTACGTAAACCCCCAAATTGTCCCTGCGGGTACTCTTAATAAGGAGGCCCCGAATATTTAGGGTACCCAAAAAGAGAACCATAACTTTTGAGAACGGACCAGAGGAAGCCCTCGCTGTGGCACCGTTCTGGGGTAAGAAGCCATCGCATTCAGGGCCCGAGGCAGGTACCTAAGGGGAACCTTAGGGAAGGTTAGGGAGAGTATCAGGGAACCTTGGGTTACATACCCTCCCTTTAGAACTATATAATTTATCCGAAGGCCCAGCACCTCACCAAGATCATGCGAATGTTCACGCTTTAGGGATTAGGGTATCGGTACTGCAGAATTTTGATCTCGGGCGAAGGTGTACGCACTTGGGGTTTAGGTATGTATGGGCTTAGGTTCCTAAACCAAAACCCTAAACCTTCATCCCCAGTCCCTAACCCCTGGCCTGGAAATGTAGGATCTGGCAACCTTTGGATGCCGAGCTTGTGGCTCGCTGCCTATTGTGTGGCGGATTCGGGTTTAGGGTTTAGGGTTTAGGGTTTAGGGGTTTAGGGGTTTAGGGGTTTAGGGGTTTAGGGGTTTAGGGTTGAGGGTTTGCAACGCTATCGACCCGAGGTTGCCATGGTGCTGCTTAGCCGGGAGCCCAGTGTGCGGAGCCTCCCACGCTCATAGAATCTACGCGAGTATCGTGGGTTCCCCTACTCTCGTCTGTAGGGTTTAGGGTTTAGGGTTTAGGGTTTAGGGTTTAGGGTTTAGGGTTTAGGGTTTAGTAATAGTAGGCTTTTGGGTTTCGGGTTTAGGGTTTAGGGGGGGTACTACCCCCCCTCTATACTACCCCTCTATACTACCCCCCCCCCCCCCCCCGAGGTTCCCCCCACAATGAAGGCTATTCAAAATTGACAGGTTATTCAAGGGGGGAACCTAGGGGGGTAGACCAGAGGAGGGTAGTAGCGAAACCCGTGATAGTATGTCTTGTGAAAGGATGGTATGGGTTAAGGAGTACCCTAGCCCCCAAAAGATCGAAGCACCCCCTCAATCCTAAACCAGCCCACAATTTTGTGTCCCGGTGATCAGGAGGGTTCGTGTAAGTGAAAGCCTCCCCCAGAATGACTCCTTGCTACTCCCTCGATATTTGGCGCCCCATTCCGAACACAAAGATGGCCAGAACCCACACAGGGTTACGGGTTTAGGAATCACGATGGGTTGCGGTGTTGAGGGTTTCGGGTCTGCGTAGGGCTGAAAAGCAAATTGACAGCGTGCAAAAAAAGAAATTGTTACTCAACAAAAGGCATCTGATCGAACCCTGAACCCTACATCCTAAACCCTAAACCCTAAACCCTAAACCCTAAACCCTAAACCCTAAACCCTAAACCCTAACCACTTGCGCAGCGTCGTTGCCCTAATCTTGACCACCTGTGGCACTTAAGCCGGGAACCCCAAAGCTCAACCCGAAGCCTTTCGGGCGCAGAAGCCAGGGTCCTGCATTGGGATTGAGGTTTAGGGTTTAGGGTTTAGGGTTTAGGGTTTAGGGTTTAGGGTTTAGGGCTTAGGGTGCAAGGGAAATGAAGTCCACAACCCCAGATGCCCTAAAGCCGACATGCCCCTCACCCAAAACACTGAAAGGGTTTAGGGTTTAGGGTTTAGGGTTTAGGGTTTAGGGTTTAGGGTTTAGGGTTATAACTTATAACTTATAAATCCCTAAAGTAAAAACTTGTAGTGCCTCGAATGTGCATCCCCTCTCTGGGGCCCCAGAGCACTTCAGGCAGCCAGCCGGCACATGCAGTGCTGCCTCCCGAGGACACGCAAAGCCCCAAAGCGCGTGCCCAGAGACCCAACGTCGGGTTTAGGGTGTAGGGTTTGGGTTTAGGGTTTAGGGTTTAGGGTTTAGGGACTATAGGGGTCGGAATAATTACTAATAGTATTCCCGTCTGTTCCCTTTATGACTATACGAGAATACTACCCCAAAACCCTATTCTTATTGTTTAGGCCTTTAGGCCCCTATATCAGATTTGCTACACACGCACCCAGAGGCCGATATCCCTCAACTAGACCCTACACCCTAAACCCCAAGTCCGTTGCGATTCCTGTAAAAGTTGCGGGAGTCCCCTAGACCCTAAACCCTAAACCCTAAACCCTAAACCCGAAACCCCAATCCCTCCATCCTCACCATCCCTTCACCCCCAAACCCTGTCAAACCCTGTAGCATCACCACTGTCAAAGCATTCTGGCTTCTTCGCTGTGGGGCGGTAGACCCCCTTTGTCTCATATCACTTTGTCTCCTTTCAAGAGGTTTAGGGTTTAGGGTTTAGGGTTTAGGGTTTAGGGAGTCCTTGCTCTTGGATTTGGCCACCATCTCACCCTAAACCCTAAACCCTAAACCCTATAGACCCTAAACCCTAAACCCGAAACCCGCGTGCTCCGCAATGTTCTGCCCAGTCCGATCGGGAGGATGGGATAGCGGCAGTGAAAGCGCTGGCAAGGAGGAGAAGCTGGCACCCTACCAGAACAAGATCAACCTCCTCAGCTTTTCAGGGTTTAGGGTTTAGGGTTTCGGGTTTAGGGTTCAAGGAGAACATCTGCGACCTTATGGGGGGCTTCCATCCGCTTGCAGTTAGCTTTAGGGTTTCAGGGTCTAGGGCACCCGAAACCGCGAGTCGTGTCCCTAAACCCTAAAACCCGTAAAACCCTAAAACCCCCAAACCCTCAAACCCTAAGAGCGCCCAGTGGGGCTTGGAATGTAGGGTTTAAAGTTGTGGGTTCAGGCTTTAGGGCTTAGGGTTTCGGGTTTAGTAGGGTTTCGTAGGGTTTTAGGGTTTGGGGTTTGAGAGTTTAGAAGGGCCTAGTGTTCATGCCAGGCGGGTGGACCCTGTAAGAGTTGATATTCAGCCAAACTTTGAAAAGCTATCCCGCTAACTGCTACCCCGAAGGCTCTAGGGACTCTTCTTTTGGGGTCTTGGACCCCAGTTACACACTGCAGAAGGCTTGCATCAATTAGCTCCGCAAGCTAGGCCATGTGGTCAAGGTATAACTACAGGGTGGGGCCCCCTTACTATACTAACTGTAGCTAAGGGGCTTATAACCTAACTTATGGTCCTTATAACCCAATTTAGGGCCCTTATAACTCTACTTATAACTAGGGGGCCCCACCCTGTAGGGTCTGGAATTCAAAGCCCTTGTACCAGGCACGCTCAAACCCCGCTGCCCTAAGCTCAACTCCCGCTTGTTATTCCTAAGCCCATGCCCAAATTCCTAAAACCCTAAGCCCTAAGCCCTAAACCCTAAACCCTAAACCCCATAGCCATAAACACTGAAACCATCCTGCTCCGAAGGAGTCACAGGGCTACATTCAGAACTTCCTTGGTAGAGACCTCAGGTGGGTGCAACATCGAGAATTGGGGGTTAGGGTTTAGGGTTTAGGGTTCAGGGCTTAGGGCTTAGGGCATGTCACTCGGGAGGCCTCAAGCCTAGATGTCAAAGAACTTAGCTGGCAAGCCTTCGGGTTTAGGTTTTCAGGCTTTATGGTTTCGGGGTACAGGGTGGTTTAGGGTTTTGGGGTTTTGAGGAGAATTCCTAGGGTTTTTGAGGAGTTGTTGTGCGTGTATTTTAGGTTTCTTGGGTTTTTGGCGTTTTGGGGTTTAGGGAAGCAGGATTCGGCCCTTCATTCACTAGTTCATTCATTTACTTTTTCCGTTGTGATTGTTATTATGATTATCATTATTCTTCTTCTTACCAGTATTATTATTAGTATTATTATTCGCACGGCCCGTATACGACTTATAATAGGGCCGTACAATAATCTAATATGATTGTTCGCATCCCGGCGGCATAATATTATTCTCTTCGCGGGTTAACTTTATATAAATGAAAAGAGTGTACAACAGCCCCTATACAATGTACTTATGATACAAAAGGTATTGCTCACTACATTCATGCTTTTAGTACGCGGATCAAGGCCCTATATTGGAATCTTTATGAACAGTGCCCATTACTATAAGAATTCTCTGGACATATTATTTCCTGATGAATCGAGAAAAGAATATTATTATTGAAAGGGCCCCCAACTTTGAGATCAAGAAAGGGCCCACAGTATGCTTACAATCATAAGTTACCAAGAATACGGGCTAGTGACCCCCCTTTTTGCTACCTTATGAGCGTATTGTTAGCAAGGGTCTTTTTGGCCTGTCTTTGGGCTTTGAGGAAGCCCGCGCCCTGTTCGCATCAAGGTATGAAATACTCGTTACCCCTAAGGTTGTACCTCTAAAGGGTGGGGCCCCCTTACTATACTAACTGTAGTTAAGGGACTTATAACCTAACTTAGGGTCCTTATAACCCAATTTAGGGCCCTTATAACTCTACTTATAACTAGGGGGCCCCACCCTGTATGCCCCGTATGCTACCTCAGAAATCTTCAAAAAGAGTCCTCAAATCTAGGGGTACCCTTAGGGGTCTAAGGCAGAGTCCCTTCATCCTAGACCACCCTAAACCCACCCCTAAACCCTAAACCCTAAACCCTAAACCCTAAACCCTAAACCCTAAACCCTAAACCCTAAACCCTAAACCCTAATTAAACCCTAAACCCTAAACCCTAAACCCTAAACCCGAAGAAGCCTGAATCCTACTCCCTGACCACCCTTCAATTCAGTAGTACTATCAACACACCTCTCGCCGATTTGCTGGTGGGCCCCAAGCTCGTAAGCCCTGAAATTTTACATTTACGGGCCCTCTGTCCAAGTTGAATTTGATCGGGCTCTTAAGGGACGGGGGGTTGAAAGGGGGGTAAGTAGCCCAAGGTTCCCTAATACTCCCCACTACTCCTCAGGCTCCCTAGGCTTCCCTAAACTTCCCTAGGTACTTACCCCCCTTGAACCCCCCCTCCCTTAAGAACCCTATAAGAATTGCAAAAATGTGCAGAGGTCTCCGTGAGGTTTGGTCGCCCCGTTGTACCCCTGTCCCTTTGCGGGTAGCTTTGAGGTTCCCTTATTTTGTAGCCGACCCAAAAAAGGGTGCCCTTATTATACCAACCTGGTTTACGTGGCCCTAAACCCTAAACCCTAAACCGTCAACCCTAAACCCTTAACCCTAAACCTAAACCTTAAACCTAAACCCTAAACCTTGTTGAGCGGCCCACCTGCAAGAGACTGAGACTGCCACAGCTGGCGCAGTCTTGGGAGGTAGTTCATAAGGAGCCAAGACGGCGGAAGGGAGGGGGATGATCAGGGTTTAGGTTTTAGGGTTCAGGGTTTAGGCTTCAGGGTTTAGGGTGAAATCTTCTCAGGGGCCCACATTCCTTCTTCGGGATTTTCAAGGCTTCTTCGGGATTGTTGAGCCCTTTTTGGGTGGGAAATACGGGGCCCTTACACCCCCCTCCCTCACCAGCCGATTGGTTCCTTATGACCAGGTCTGAACTCTGGCTAGGCCCTTCTCGTGTTTCTGCTTTAACATGCAGGAACCCTAGGGCAGCGTATACGATAACAACAACTAGGAAGAGTTTTAAGGAACCACAAGGTACAAAATAGGCGGCATCATAGCTAAAGTTAAAAATCTTAGGAGAAGGAACACTCACTTCAGGAGCCTATTCCAGGTCAGCCCCCCCCCCCCCCCCCCCCCCCCCGCGAGTACCCTCAGCCTTAACCCGAAACCCTGAACCCTAATCGCACGAAAACTCTACAAAATATGAGAACCTGCATCGCAAGAGTAGGGTTCAGGGCTTAGGGTTTAGTGAGGGTTTAGGCGTTTAGGGCCAAGCTGCTCAGCACCTCATTACTCATGACCCAAATATGGGAGAGCAAGTGGGAATATACAGCCAAAAGCAGGCCCTGAACCCTGAACCCCTCAACCCCTCAACCCTCAACCCCTCAACCCCTTCAACCCCTTCAACCCCTAAACCCTAAACCCTAAACTTTTCAAACCCCTTGGACCCTCCAAGGATACGCCAACCTCGTCATCAACTTCTTGTCCGGCTACTTTGGTGCCTGGGCCGCGATGCCCTCCTGCTTTTTAGGTCCCTTTTGGCCTCAAGGGTTTAGGGTTTAGGGTTTCGGGTTTAGGATTTAGGGTTAAGGGTTTGGGGTTTAGGGTTCCCAAGCTTGGGAGTTTGGCATCATGGTCATCGTCGCAAGATGGGCAACCGAGAGACTTGCAAGTACTCGGCTGGGATGCCGGTGAAGGAAGAACCCGAACTTGCTCGTGCCGGACATGGCCCGGCACCGCAGCACTCGCGAAGCAAGAGCGCTGGCCCCACCCAAGACAAAGTTGCGCGAGGAGCCAGAGTACCCTGAGGACGAAGAGTACCCTGAGTACCAGTGAGGTGTGCAAGTACTCTGTGCTTCAGGGTTGAGGTTGTACAGTACGCTTTTGTGTTTCGGGGGCGGTGTTCTTCTTTTTTTCCGGGAGGTAGAAGTGGCCGCGACCGTGTTAGTAAACCCCAAGCCCTTAAACCCTATCTAAGCCTAGGCCCCTACTCTCGTGCTTCGCAGGATGAATGGAATCTCACGTACAGGGGTTTAGGGTTTAGGGTTTAGGGTTTAGGGTTTAGGGTTTAGGGTTTAGGGTTACTAAGCTGGTGTACGGGATTGGTGTGTGAGGGGGCCGGCATTCTATGAAGGTTCTTAAGGCCTACCCTAAACCCTGAACCCTAAACCCTAAATCCTTAGCCCTAAACCCTAAACCCCACAACCCTATAAAAAGCTCCAAGTTAAGTAAACTCTGACCTCCCCCTTCATCCCCGGGAGTGTTTTTTTGAGTTTGCCCATCCCTCCACCCAAGTGAACCTACTGGTAAACATCTTTCAAAGGGTTTAAGACACAACCCTAAACCCTAAACCCTGGACCCTGGAACCCACCCCACCCCCCGCTTAAGCGGGCGTCCTTCTCTAAGGAGAGTTGTCTTTGTCTCAAAAGGAACCTACAAGCAATGGTACCGTTTACCCTCTCATCAAAGCAAATAAACCCTAAACCCCCAAACCCCAAACCGTAGCCCTAAACCCTAAACCCTAAACTGTGAACCCAAAACCCGAAATGGAGAGCCAAGAACCTAGACCGCCAAGCCCCTGAACCCCAAACCCCTCAAGGAAACCTTCAAGTGGGAAGTTCTCTAAGGGTGCAGGGTTTAGGGCTTAGGGATTAAGGGTACAGGATCCCTTTTGGGAGTTCTGTTTGTAAGGTGCTGTACTATGTAGGAGCCCCAAAAGAGAACGGATCGCAACAGGCATGGTCTTCGGCCCAGTGATCAAACAGTTCAGCAAGCCTGGTCCGGTCAAGGAGAGGGTTTGGGGCATGGAGGGCAAGGCCTTTGAGGCTTTAGGGTTTAGGGTTTAGGGTTTAGGGTTTAGGGTTTAGGGCATCTTGGGGGGGGATATATCAAGGGAGTCATGCTCGGACCCCTAAGGTTCAACCCCGAGGAGCTACCCTTAATGTACTCCTAACATGGCCCGAAAATTCTCGTGGAGGATCTGTAAAAAGGCCCCCAAGCCTAAGGGTGCAACCTTAGGCATGCAAGGTCGAGTCCTATGATTATGGGCTAGGTAGGGGTTTAGGTGTATTCATCGGAGTTTAGAGTCTTAGAGGGAGATACGGACAATGACCTTTAAGTACATCTAGACCCAAAACTAGGTGGAGCTTTCTTGGAGGTTCCAGGGGCAGCTGTAGTTATCGGGCGGGTCATTTTGATGAACCCCAAGCCCTAAACCCCAAACCCCAAGCTCAAAGCTCCCTAAACTCCCTGAACCTGAAATCCAGAAACTCCCTAGATCCCTAAACTCCCTAAACCTGAACCTTCAAGGAGATTACGTTTGGAGCAGTCGGTGGCTTGAGGGTAACCCGGAGACCCAAGCACAGGCTTATGTGGAAATGCAGGGATCTGGGTTTCTTTTTCCCTGATGGCTGTATAAGGGTAGTTGTCATAATGAGCGTCCCTTTTTGGACACCCTGAATATTAGGTGCCGTATTATTTTCGGGACCCCAAAAGGGACCCATAATTTTGACAACCACCCATAAGTATCCCTAAAGCTACTGTATAGGAAAACCCGTTCAAGGCCCAGGTATATACTGCAAAGGCACATGGAACCTGAGAGTTGTAGAAACGTAGGGTTTGGGGTTTAGGGTTTAGGGTTTAGGGTAGAGGGTTTAGGCGTCGGTTTTCGAGTCCTCCCCCTCCCACCCCCCACCACCCCCGCCGCGACGAGTACTTCGTCGCCGCCGGCCTGGTCGGCGGGCTTGTGCCGGACCCAGAGTCCAAGTCTAGGTCTAATAGGGTTTAGGGTTTAGGGTTTAGGGTTTGAGGTTTAGGGTTTGGGGTTTAGGGTGTGGGTTTAGGGTTTAGGGTTTAGAGTTTAGAGGTTAGGATTCAGGGTTCAGGGTTTCGGCTTTATAGGGTTCAATCCTAATGGGGCTCAGGGATCCCTGATTGGCTACCCTGTTTTAATGCGCTTTAAGTACGGGCACGCCTAAACCCTGAACCCTAAACTCTAAACCCTAAACCCCAAACCCTAAACCCGTCCTGGTAAGTCCAAGCTCTAAAGCTCTGAAAGGCCGAAAAGAGTTCCCTCCATCGCATGAACGACAGCATCGTATCATTCGGCTCTTCGCAGCACTTTCCTTGGAGGGTTTAGGGTTTGGGGTTCAGGGTTAGGCCATCATAACCAAGAGGTTTCACAGTGAAGAGTGACAAAAATCTAAGCAATCTGAGCTTCATGCTTCAAACTATAGGCCTTGCACCAGGCACCCTTAGGGTTTAAGGTTTAGGGTTTAGGGTTTAGGGCTCAATAGTGTCGTCGGACAGGGTATATGACCCCAATTTCAGGTCAACTTTAGGTCGTTTGGTTCCCAAGGAAGGGGAACGGGAGGTATTCCCATCAAAAGCCCACGAAAACAGACGGTTTTAAGAATACCAGCGGGAATAGAGGCTTCCCGAGGAAAACCAAGGAAACGTACCAAACAAGAAAGGGACGCCCAAAAGCAGATGCCCCAAAAAAACTCCACCCCTCTTAATTCTTCCGAAGGATGCTTGGTCTCCACATGTTTATCAATTGGCCCGAGCTGGTCTTTATGGTCGAAGAAGCTGATCGAGTTTATCCCGGTCCCAAAGGGTCCTAAAGTACCCACATCGGGGACACTTACCCAAACCGCAATAGTAATTCCTGTAGGTACTTAGGACCCTAAACCCTAAACCCCAAACCCTAAACCCTAAACCCCAAACCCAAATCGTATTTCGCATCAAGTTTCGGGATTGGTTATACACATAGGCAAAATGCAAAACAACTGAATGTCTCAAAACGCAGGCCCCCGTGGTTTTCTGATTGGTTACGAGGTGTGGGACAGTGTCGGCTGCCTGCACACGCCTCAGCCGTCAACCCTAAACCATAAACCCTAAACCCTAAACCCTAAACCCTAAACCCTAAACCCTAAACCCTAAACCCTAAACCCTAAACCCTAAACCCTAAACCCTAAACCCTAAACCCTAAACCCAATCTAATGTCGCAAAGGTGCTCCTGGTGCTGACGGTGAAAGCCATGGTTGCCCTGTGAGCCAACGATCCTCAAGTTTTCGCTATCCCTAAACCTGACTTGGTAGCCCAGTCGTTTAGGGTTTAGGGTTTAGGGTTTAGGGTTTAGGGGTCTTCTTGGTAGCCCAGTGGTACCCTTGCCCCTTGTTCTGGTTCAAGGTTCCGTTATGAAGGAACCCACCCCAAAGAGGGTACCCTGATTATAAGAAGGTTACTGGGCTATATACCAAGCCTGATCCCGCACATCCCTAAACCAAAAGCCTTAGGGTTTTCAGGTTTAGGGTTTAGGGTTTAGGGTTCAGGTGTAAAAGCTTACAAGGCTCTCCAAGGGCTCTTACTTTTAAGACGTTTGGGCCCAAAGGCCAAGGGTGAACATCACATTCTGCGTGAATCGTACCAGCCTGTAGAAAGGCCCGAAAACCCTAAACTCTGAACCCTAAACCCTGAACCCTACACCCTGAACCCTAAACCCTAAACACCCTTTCTTTCATATGTAAACTTATAACCCTATTGTGTGTGTGCCAAAATGGAGCCAAAACCGGACCCTTTATCGTCTGAGGCCTCCAACCACCCGGATGCCAACCCCGCCCCCCCCCCGCCTCCACACCCCTCTACTCCCGACTCCCTAAACCCTAAACCCGAAACCCTAAACCCTAAACCCTAAACCTTGTTCAGGGTTGAGGTTCGCTTACAGGCCCCTTTAAACCAAAAAGGCCACCCTTTTGATTCCTAGGTTCCTCTTCGGACTAGGCGATCTTACTAGCTCTTCATACGGAACATGGGGAGGTAGGTTGAGTTAGGTGTCTGATAAATATCCCTCTCACATAACCTTCCCTTCAAGGAGTTGCATAGTACCTACCTAGTTCGCGAATTTGCCTCCTAAGAACCCGTAAGAATGTAGGAAACACCGTTGGGGTCTTGGCAGGGTCACGGGTGCCAAGCCCTCGACACTGGAATCCTACAGTCGATTGTAATGAAACCCTAGACAATGAACCCTCAACCCTAGAACCTAACACTCAGAACCTAAACCCTCGACACTAGACCCTAAACCCTAAACCCTAAACCGAAAACCCTAAACCCTAAACCCTAAACCCTAAACCCGAAACCCGAAACCCGAAACCCGAAACCCTAAACCCCAAACCCTAAACCCTAAACCCTAAGCCCTAAACCCTAAACCCTACACCCTAAACCCTAAACCGAAACCATCACACTTTTGGCCTCTCCAGAGCCCGAAGTTTTTCCGCTTGCGTAGCGCGTCGAGACCCACACACTCCAAGAGACTGCCCCAGACAACTGCGGAGAAAAGAGTTTCAGGGTTTAGGGCTTGGGGTTCAGGGTTTAGGGTTTGGTGTTTGGGGTTTAGGGTTTGGGCTTGAGGGTTTAGGGTTTTTGGTTTAGGGTTTAGGGCTATTTAGGGTTTGGGGTTTAGGGTTTAGTGTTTAGCAAGTCATTCATCTGTGTGTATTCCCTCTTATGGTGTCCTGATTATAGGGTTTAGGATTTAGGGTTTAGGGTTTAGGGTTAAAGACCTTGCAAAGTTCAGGGCATGGAGGGTTGAACCTCTCAATGATCGAATCTGGCCCTGATCTGGCAGTGGGGAGTGGCTCATCTTTTGCTACCCTGCTTGGAGACCTTCTCTGGGTCCCTGCTGGTTGAAATTTTACATGTTTGTCAGACTAGGTTCCCAACAAGGAATAACAATGATAATCTTTACTGTAACCCCAGCAAGGAAGCAGTTCTTGGGTTTAGGGTTTAGGGTTTAGGGCTTCTGGGGTTCAGGGTTTAGGGTTTAATTAGGGCTTCTG